CACAAAGAAGAGTAACAATAATAATAACCTGGTATAAATATATTATGTACAGATGACTGCAAACAAAAGTTCATTGTCTCCGAATATCAACACTACCTTTTCTATACCGTTCTAAAATGTCTGTTACACGTAAAGAGCAATATAGAATATTATATACTATGAGAAATCATATTCATTATCTTTTTAATAAAAGTAACGATATGTACTCTACGAGCGAGACTAACGAAAATCAGAAATGGTAGTTACCGAGATATTAAATTTTATAATGCATTACCAAAATCAATTAAAGATTTAAATTGTAAGAGCTTTAAATAAAGGTTAAAACAATTTCTGTTGAATAAAACATTTTATAGCTTTTAAGAATTCTTGATCAACTATTATTTATCCGTAATATCGACTTACGACGGATAATTTATTACTATTTTATAGTTTTTTAATTTTTTAAATGTTTTAGTTCTATCTTTTACTTTATGTACTGTCCTATTTTGTCTGACTTATTTTGGCACCAATAAAAAAATTAAACTATATTAAATAAAACTGACTATACTGGAATATAACTGATGCTTTCTTTCTTTAAGTAGTTAAAATATATTCGAAAATATATTCCAAAATTTTATAAATATTCCACTCACTATATTTAAATAAAAGGTAATCAGGCAGAACAGAGATGATATCAGGATTTACCCGTCACCCTGTGTCCTTTGCAGCATTACTAAAAACACATCCTTGATAAAAAGGCAAGTCATCCTGAGGCTTTTATTTATTAGGTAGAATAGAAAGTTCAATTGAAATCTGAATGTTACAATCATGATGAAGATTCTTTCAAGGCGAAGTTATTGTTAGGATATTACTAGATTATTAGAATTTATTTCACTACGATGGTGGACTTATTATAATTTACTTGTAATTATTGACTATTTGACCAATGATATAATTTGACCTCGATATAACTGTACCTACAAAAATTCTAATTTATCTAATAGGAAAAAAATCTTTAACTGAATATTTTATCTAGATAAAAATATAAATAAAGTGTTCACTAGAGTATTAAAACGGAATAAGGCATACAAGCGTTGAAAACAATAAATAGGTATGACTCATGCCACCTTATCAGTAAGTGTATCTGTTCTACATTGTCAAGGAGGAGATAGGCTAAAACATTTTCGATACTACACAAGTCAGTTATTATACAGGTTCGTGATATTGCTGCCACGTTAATTTTACGATCGTTTTTAACTGATTTTTGTTTGCAAATCTAATAACCATTTAAAATACTGGTTTGAATATAGTAATTTTTTACGCTACTTTCTTAATTTTAAGGTTAGAAAAAAATTTATAAAAAACGTTATTCTTAACTATCAACAATTTTTTTTATAACGATAAAATGTTGTACAGAATGTGTTAAAAGGAATGGCAAACTAAACATGATGTTTTTAATGGAACATGAACCATATTTTAAATCTAACCTATTTTCTAATTCTAAGGGTAAAAAATATATGTTAATTACAACATTCTACAGAATAATTTGTTAACACTATACAGATTGATCGGTTACTTTATTACCAAGTCTAACACTAAGACCATACAGAGCGTCATGCTATGCTATGTTCATTATACAAGTTAAAAACAGCCAATATTGCAACCACACAGATATAAGAAAATATTCATATCTGTAGAACAAAAATCCGAATAAATATTGAAGTCATATATACAAGACGACATGTGGGTGAAAATTTACATGGAATTACAAACAAAATTTAAAAGTAAGATACGGTATTTCAATAAATATTAACGTCATTCACACATTATTGGCTAATTTTGTTGTAAAAATTTAGATATTATGAAGATATATACCGAGATAAAAACAATTCAATATTATTTATCAACTCAGCCATGTTTTAAAAATATCTATCATATCTATATCAAAATAGCATACGCATCATATATGTATTTACTTTATACGTGGTTGACATAACGCTCTGTGTGGTCTTAACATTATGCATTACTCTTATGATTGTTTTAATGGTCATATATTCCTAATCATTCTAGCCTCTTCACACCTTATATCATTGTAATCTTAAAAAGGTGTTTTATGCAGATATGACATAATAGTCTGTAAGTAAGTAGCGTAAGAAAATTAGTTTTGATTCTGAAAAAGTTTATTTTGTTAGGTACACCTTTTTAGAACACTCCCCACAAAATTTAATATCATATGCTTCATTTTGTATATTTCTTTTTGCCATGTTTTTCCCAAATCTATAAACAACAAAAACTAGGATAGAATGACATTTATAATAATAAGCGTATACCCCTACGATACCTGACAACAAAATTCAGGAACTTATCGCGGTAAAAACACTAATTGCTAAATATTATTGTCAACTTGTAACTTTTCTTAAGTAACCATATGTCTAGTTTATCCTTCACAATTTGGAAGCAGCTATCTTCCATGTTATCAAAATACCGTCGTTTCGTTATTTACTTTATCTTTGGCAACGGAAGAAGGTTATGGAAGTCGTAACTAATAAATAGTTATCGAGATTTCCTCGAAGATATTTGTTTACCACTAAAAATTCGCTTAAAACATCCTGCATCACAACATTGTTGTGATGCAGGATCCACGAGCTGTTAGCAAAAAAGTTAGATATTTTTAACTTCCTCAAACATCACTTTCAGGACTTTTATTTTTACAGTCTGTATTTCCAGGTTTAAGGTTTAGAGGTAAATATTTGAAAACACTAAAAGCATTACGAGAACTAGAAATATTTATCAAACAACAACAAATTTTATATCACAACAGTAAATTTGTTTTTGTATGAGCTTTTAGCTTTAGCAAGTAAAAAATACAACATGTTCATGTTGTAGCGAAAACTTACAGCACTTAGGTCTTGTGACCTATTGTGCATGCTGCTAGTAAGGGTTTAAAAGGGGCCCTTCTTATCTGCGAAGGCAAGCATTAACTTTGCTCGAATCTTTGCTGATATACTGATGTGACAGAAATTCTGCTCCCTGCACAGTACCACATAATTCTGAAAACCATTCCACTAAACCTACATCAAAATTGGTAATTAAGGGAAGGCCAGGCGTTAGTATAGATACACGAAGAAAATAGTTGAAAGTAGCCATATACCATATCATTTTACCATGACGCCTCGTATATTTATTACCATTATTGTTTATTTACATCATGACAATGATAAAAATAAAAATTTTTGAAACTAGTTCATTTTAAATTTTCTGTAAAATATGTTTATAAGATTATCTTCAGACGAGACATATCTGTAAGACAAATAAAGCTGAACAGATAAGTTTTTAGAGAATTAATAGGGCAATAACCTTTGCGGGTTGATCTTAAGGATTTATAAACAATTTTTGAATAAATTATTGTTGCTTTTGACTGAGCAAATGTAATTTCATCTTATATATAATGCGATAGCGCACCCACATATATTATTTTATAGGTAGATATTAATGTATTATTCACAAGTCATAATAATTAACCAGTGAAGTAAAACCACAAACTAAATTTATTTCGTTTAAAAATATTATTGAAACATCATTGCCGAACAATACCTCTTATTTGATATTAATTACTAGGGTCGACCTAAAGTTGATTTATACCAAAATGATTACTGATTATGGGGAACTGATATGAATAAAAATATGTAAAGATAACGATATAACCGAAAATACCATAATAATTTTTTCATGTTACATTCTATACCTACCTAAAATTTAAAATACTGAATATTTTTTGTAGATCTAGAAGTAGACATAGGATAGTTTCATTCCTAATTTTATTTCGAAAAACAAATATTTAAGTATATTCTTTATTCGAAGAAATTTGCCATTTTCTGATTTTATTATTTTACTTTAGAAAAAACTTTTCACAAATTTAAAATATCTCTAAAACTAATCGATTAGCAAATAAAGTGTATTGGATTTTTTTGATAATTATACTTTATTTAAAATTGTATTTAGAACAATATTATTCTCATATAGTTTTGGAGTTATTTTCGATTTATTCAACTGTGGGGTAAGCTAATTTTAAATTTAAAAAATAACTCGAAAACGACCCGCTCTTCGAACAAAATGTATAAAATATATAATAATATAATTACTGATACTGACCTATATAAAAAAGAGCAACAGTGATATAAAAATTTTGAAACTTTCAATGACAGTGAGTCCCACTAATTTCATCACTAGTTAGACACACCATTAATCCAAATTTCATTGGAGTACGTAAAACATATACGTTTTTTTTTATAATTTCAATACTTTGTATTCGAAAATCAGTGGTTTTAGCCTCCTGGTTTATTAAGACTTTTTAGCCTGAAACTTAAAAGACACCTTGTATAACTAAGCGATTAAACTGTGTCTTCATTCACTCAATGCCAGTTAAGACTTACAAACGATTATGTGTCACAATCCACAAAATAATTTCAAGATATTATAGGATACCTTTTTCCTCATAGATATATCAAAAATATTAATTGGTCTGGAAAATATTGTTGTATTAGGAATTTTAATTCAAATTATTTACCACTTGAACAATGGAATAAAATAACTTTAAACGAATTTGACACAGCTATAGAATTTGAAGTACAGTAACTGAGATCTGGGTATTTCCTTTCCCAATTACCATAAACCTTTTAAGGCAAACACTATTTCCACATTTAGATACATTATTATTACTATTTAACATGTTATATTAAATAAATATTTATATTCAAGCTGAAAAGCAATTATTATGTCAATATACAATTGATATTATTGAAAGTACGTACGAATTATTATTATTATTATTATTAGGTATTATTATTATTTAACAGAAAAAAATCCCTTGGTCAAAAGGCCAGTTCATATTTTTCATACTAAATCTGCTAAATCGTAAAATTAAATAGTAGGTACAATCGACCAACCATTGAAATGTAAATCGAGGTATATTAAGCAAATATTTACTCTATCGGGGAATAGTAACTTAATGGTAAACATACCCTTATAAAAGGTCTCCTAGGCACATCATCGAAGTCTTCAATGTAGACACTATCCTCAGTAGTTTTATTGGTATCACACATTTTCACATTTTATTATCACACACTTGCAAACACAAACACATGTACGTAGAAGGTACCGTAATTCCACTTCTTGCTAGCAAATCTATACCGACACTACTTGATCAATAAGTAATTACAGCAATTGAGAAAACCTGATGAACAAATAAATCAAATCTGCGTGACCCACTTCGACTAGAGTTCGAATTTAAAAACAGCGCGCCTCTTTCCGTGTGAAGAGTTTGATGCCGCGAAGTACAATGGGGTTCACTCCGGCGTTTTAGGTTAACTCACAAAGTTATTACGGACTGCGCACCGGCACAGGTAAACAAAACAATATCGTATACACTGCAGTGGATACAAACAGCCGTCTATGTTGCAATTGCACAGCCACCTACATTTATTAGTTACAGTCGTTCCATGATAAAGCGCGGTGTGCTGTACTCTGTTCCTTTATTGTTGAAGTAGTTGCGTAATCACAGAAAACTTATCCATAAGACGACGTTTATTATATTTTGAAACAATAAAACCTTATACATTAATACTAATTTTTTATGATCACAGAGGCAAACTAAAAACGTTTTTTAGAACCATATTCTCTTATCAGATTCCATTAACTATTTCACCGTTTCTCAACAATTCTAATTTGTTACAAATTAGTGCAATTTTATTACCTATCAAACTAACTGAAAATATTTTTTACACAAATCGACAAAATCATCTAAAACTATGAAAGTTATACTGAATTAGCGATTTTTTTTAATAAAGTAAATTTTCGTCTCTATTAAATATGGCACTCTAATGAGACACTGGAAAATTTACAGATTTTATTAGTAAACATTCGACACTTACAATTAGTAAAGTGTATGGGATTGATTGGAGGTAGTACCATATAATCTAAAAATTTTCAAAAAACCCATTTACAAGAAAAACTGCTTTTTTTAATGAAAAATTTTCAGAACATGAAAATTTTGCTTAAAAATTATACATTAATTTTTTGTATGTTGGTACTTGCCTACGGGGCAGTGGCGGCTCGTCAGGTGACGCAAGTGACGCACCGCTTCACCTAAAATTTCCGTTTGGTTGTGCAATTTAAAATTATTTTTAATTTTATATAAATGTTATAATTTAGGTATAATTCTATATTGAAAATGTATTGTGTTTGTTTGTTTAATACGCAGAAATAAAAAGAATAGTTGCACGGAACGCCTTCTAAACAAGCATTGCCTTCGTTGAACGCGAACATCAACCTCGTACCATACAACGTACAGTATGCACAAGTGACGCAGATCGAAATCACTCTGTATTCCGCTTCTCTTCGAAGCGTTGTTTACGGCGGTTGTCATGGCAACGAGGCGATCAACACGGGAGTAAAGTACGGCATGGGTGAACGAGTGACACGAATATTGAAGCATCAATCAGCCCTATTCTGTAACTCCTAATCGAATAGAAATGTATAAAACCCTTCAAATCAGAATTGGGCACCGTCGGTATTCTATAACTTGTTTCGACGTCTACTATCGAAGTTGTTGGTAGAAATCGACGTCGATCGGTCAAACTCTGTCGAAGTGGTAGTCTTAGATATCGAGATCGGTACGCATGCGTTGTTGTGTTAGATGTGTCAGTTTGAGTTAAGCGTAACCTCGAAACACAACATCCTTTTTGTTTTTCGTGTTTTAAATCACAAAATTATAAAATATTTGTACGTCTATACGTACGTGTATAGGTATATTTTTTATTTAATAATCTAATTTGTGCATGGTTTATAATATTCTCTATCAAAGGGCTTAGTTTTACCATGAAGTAAAATTTTGTGCAGCGTAATGAAATCTACCATGTAGTTCAGCTGCTCTGTAGAAGTTTTTTTCTTTATTGGAGTCGGAACTGACATCTTTAATATTTTTCAGCACTGACCTTCTCGAAAGATTATAGCAAAATGAATGTATTTTTAAACTAAACTATACAATCTAGTAGGTAGGTACAATTAAATTTACCGAACATGGGATTTCCTATCAAAACACATCTGCAAGTCAACTGTGCGTAAATTCCACTTTTTATACCTGCGCTAAATCTTGTAAAAGACACATTTATCTCATTTTTACAGCTAATTTGCATATTTCATATTTTGAAATTTCTAACCTCTCTAAATGCCACTTATTAAAGTCTATAATCGCAGAGCAATGCATTGTTGCCATTACGCTAAACGGGCATCAAATCGAGGTCTTTCTCTACGATTTGTTACTTCTACGATTTGAGTCATAGAATACCAATTTTAGGAAACGATCGACGCGATAGATAATGAACTTTACGAATTGCGAACATTTCGACTCGAGCTTTTCGATGCAAGTTACAGAATAGGGCTGATTGTCATCGCCCATCGCATCGCCTGCCTTTAAACAGCTTATACGATACGCGTCGCCCAGTGCACGATTATAATAGTTAATATTTGTTTGTATAATAACACAGACCGACAAAATTTTACGGAAGTCCAGAACCAGAGACCGGATCTAGTGTACCATAAGGATTTTGGTGAGCTGATTACGAATCCAAGTTCAGAATTGGTCCATCACCCTAGGTTCTCGAGATATTTAAAAATGTAAAAATCGCGGTTTTTCGTTATATTCGGGGTCAGATTACAACGTGAATTATTTTTTTTCTAAAATCGCGTTAAACCATCTCAAAGTACCACCTTTACCCTTCTAAGCGCACTTCGACTTTTTTGAAAATCTTTTTTTCCCCATAGAGATATGATAGATTCAAGTTTAGTACTTTAGCAATTTCGTTACAACATGGAAATAAACAAAATTTATCCAAAAAGATATAAAGTACTTATATGTTTCTCGAGTCTCTGAATTTGAGAACACCGGCGGACCTGCTCCATAACCTCAATATTTCAAGATTTTTTAACCTAAAATTGAATACTATATGAAGCAGATACCTATGTATACACACTGTTACATTCGGATGCTAAGCTCATGACAGGTTCATCATAATGCGCTATAACCTACCACACGTTAACTTAAATGGACAATAACCAGCTTGGGTTAATCCTACGACAGGTTAACCTAAATACGCAGTAACCTGCGAGCGCTGAACCTTAGTAGGTATTGTTCAAAAATATAAGGTAAATTACTTATTTAAAATTCGCGCGTATTATGAAAGCAACAATTATTGTTTTATAGGATGGTAGTACTGTCCTTGATATCTATGCAGAGTTTCAAGTTTCAAGTCAATATATTCAATTGCTGCAGAGCTACTCGTATTTTTGTAAACATACAAAAGTGAATTTATCGATTTTCTTTTCACTATGTATTCTGATTTTGTTGAGCAAAGAATTTGCATTAAATTTTGTTTGTGGAATGAATATTCCGACGCGGAAACGTTGAGGATGTTACAGAAGGCCTTTAGTGATGAAGTTATGTCGCAAAAAATGGTTACAAGTGATACAATGACTTTAAAAGAAGGGAGAGAAAGCGTTAAGGACGAACAGCGTTCCGGACGACCATCAACGTCAACTGATGAACAGCACGTTAATTAAATCATAGATCATGTGCTCGAAAAGCGACGATTAACAATAAGAGATCTTGTTGATACTGTTGGCATTTCAAAAGGTTCAGTATATCCATTTTAAAGGATTTGTTGTGCCTTAGACGCGTCAATTCTCGTTTGGTTCCATAAATGTTCAACTTCTGACTACCAAGACGTCATGTAACGCCGTAACTGCAACTCCTGATTTAGGAGTGATTTCTGGTTATTACCAAAAGACCACTCCGTTGACTGGATTCGACTCAATCGAGAAAAAAAAAGCCGAATCGACAAAAGTATTGAAGGCATACCACAGCTTAATACAGCTGGAAGAGTCCGTGTCGGCGCCTTTGATGTGGCGGTCGAGAACCAAGCGAGACGGAATCGTGCTAACTCTCTCAGATTAAGCGGAATAGTTGGGGCTGGATTAAAAGAATTTTTATTATTGAAATAAAATATTTAGTTTCTACCTGACAGTACCATAGTAGGTAATTTTAATAATATGAAATTTGAATTAGAATATTACGTGGTATGACATTAAAAGTAGAAAATCGGTAATTTAGATAAGCAATAGGTTTTGTACTTGCAGTTAATACGGATTATTAAAAGAAAACTTGAAGAGTAATTAAAATTCCTTGTTGTAAACTCCTGTTTACTGACGTAATCCTTAGAGAAGAAAATGGTTTAAATCGCGTTTTTTCCGAAAAAATCGTTAGTATCTCGAAAACAGTAGATTTTAGAGAAAAGTTGCATATGAACATTTTTGTTCAGGATACCTACTCCAAAAAGCCTATAAAAATGTATTTCAAGCGAAAAAATCGAAAATTATGAATTTGTTTAAAAAAAATTGTTTAAACAATTTTTGACCATTAGTAATGTCTGGCAACATGCGGATATGATTCAAGGGTCATTTTTTTAGTAAGATTATGAAAAAAAATTCGAATGAGAATCATGTTCCTAGCGGGAACAACGATACAGCCTGGACTAATACTTATACATATTATAAAACATGCCTACAATATAATATACAAAAAAATATAATAACATAATGTTATTATTAAAAATATAATTATTACAGATTTCTCCATTAATATAAGTGTATTTTTTGAAGATTCCTAAAATTTTGGTTTATAGTTTATAACATATAATAAATTCTAACCCTTAAATATAACAAGTAAGTACAAATTATTTCGGAAAAGGATGACACGGATGACTAGTCTTAATTAATTCAAGAAATGTGCTACAAAATAAATGTTATTTTTTGTGGATAATTGTTCAAAATTATCTTGAAATATCTTTTCAGTGTTACAAATGAGCTCAACAAAGTTATCGTTTGGCATTTGCAATTGTCCAAATAAGGTATCTTCATTTTCATTATTATATAAAATAAAAATAAATCAACGAAATTATACCCACGCCTATGATGCAATTCTTACTAGCCGTTGTCGCTACTCGCCTGAACGAACGCCAAAGCCGTCTTTTCCGCTGGAAGGCGGGGCATAAATGCTGCGCGACGGAATCGACGCTAACTGATCCCGCCAAGACAGTTGAGAAGCTGTATGAGCTGTGGCCATACCCTGTTTCGAGCGTTAGAAAAAACATTGGCATAAGTGCATTGTATCGGGTGGGGATTGCCTTGAAGGTGACAAAATTGTTTTGGAAGCATAAATAAAGGTTTTTTTCTTTAAACAAATTCACCTTATTATTTGGACAACGGGTTATAACAAATTACTTATAAATAAACTTAAAATCAGTAGGAACAAATTCATTTATACAGTCATTTCACAACAAACACATTTTAAGCCCTCTTATGCAATCCAACACATTT